GCTTTAGTATGTAGTAGCTGACAAAGCACTAATTGCTTTTGATGACCTGCAAGAATAGCTTAATTAATGACTATGTTAAAACCCTCTGCTTTCTTTCAAGTTGCACAACCTTCTCTCTTGACAATCATAAAAAAAAAAAAAAAAAAAAAAAATCTGAGCTTTAGTATGTAGTAGCTGACAAAGCACTAATTGCTTTTGATGACCTGCAAGAATAGCTTAATTAATGACTATGTTAAAACCCTCTGCTTTCTTACTGCTTTTTCCAATCCTGCTCAGTGATTCTCTCTGAATACTGCAGGAAAGCCTGGTGCCTTTTTGGAGAAGCCCCAACCACCCCATGTACCTGCCGAGGGATTTTTCTAGAGTGTACACGCCTACATTAAAGAAAAGAAAAGGAAAAAACCTACAAAAACATTTCTGAGTCTATTCTTCACCCTAAGTTGAATATTTCTTAGAGCAGGGGAACTTCTTTCTAGGTAAATGAAATACAACATAAGGTTATCACCACATGAAATGTTAATAGTGTATTACCATTGGGACCTCAGCACTTCAGTGATTAATAATTCAAATGTGTGGAGTCCTGGTGTGGTGCTGTGAGATAAAGCACTAGACCATAGAGTATTTGAGCCACAAGATCAACGCGGTTCAAATTCACCAGCCTCTCCTTGGAAACTCTAGACAGGGTCACTATGAGTAGGAACAGACTGGACGCTACTTAACAACAACTATATGTGGCACTGTAGGATAAGCACACGACTGTAAGGTCGATTTGAACCAGAAGGTTGGCATTTCAAACTCACTAACCTTTCCTCAGAAACTCTATACAGGGCTACTATGAATTGGAACCAACTTAATGGCACTTAGCAACTATATACTGGCTCCTAGTGTGACACTGTCAGTTAATGCACCAGACTGCAAAGCCATTAACTACAAGGCCGGCAGTTCAAGCTCACCAGCTGCTCCTCAGAAACTCTATACAGGGTCGTTATGGGTCAGGATCGACTCAACGGCACTTAACAACAACAAGTGTGGCCCTGGGGAGTCCTGGTGTAGCACTGTGTGTTAATGCGCCAAACTGCAAAGTCAGTGGTTCAAGCTCACCAGCCACTCCTCAGAAACCCCATACAGGGTTGCTATGGGTCAGAACCAACTCGACGGCATTCAGCAACAAAAACAAGTGTAGCACTGTAGGATAAGCAGTGGACTGCTAATAGCAAGTTTGGTAGGCGTATGAAAAAGGTTTTGATTGTTATAACCAACAATAGGAATGCTTTTATAGAAAATAATAAATTTTTGTTGAAACATTGTGCAAAAATTTTATAGATCGTCATTTTGGTGTCACCCCCTCTGAGTGTCACCTGGAAGGGTCTATACTTCTGCAGCCTGCCAGTAACACCACTGTTTGCTAGGCAATTGGACCTAAGCCACATCTATCCTTTCTGTCTTTTTCTGAGACCAACATCTTGCTGTTAAGTGCCATTGAGTCAGTTCTGACTCATAGCGATTGTATAGAGTTTCCAAGGAGCGGCTGGTAGGTTTGAACTACTCATCCTATTGCTAGCAGTCCAGTGTTGATCCTACAACACCACACCAGGACTACCGCAGACCAACTGCTTGTATTGTTGTGAAGTGCTGTTGAATTGATCCTGACCCATAGCGACCCTGTATAGGGTTTCCAAGGAGCAGCTGGTGAGCTTGAACCATCGATGTTGCAGTTCAAACGACTTAGCAGTCTGACACATTAGCCCACAATAGCACACCAGCCCTTCAACTAGGCAAGTGAAATTCCTGCTTTTCTGTTTGCTGGGCAAACAACTAATAACCAGGGTGACTGTATGAATTATTCTTTGAACCTAAGTACTTCTCAGAGTGTCAGTCACACCACAAAGAGACTTCTGAATTGTATTTGTCTTCTTCCTCCTCATTACCGTTATTTAATTATATAGCAAGTTCTGTGGATGGTTCTTCCAACATGTCCCTGTAATCTGTGCCTTCCTTGTCATGCCTGCTCTTCACAACCTGATCAGCAGCTGCCTACTGATGGTTGTAATCGTCTAACCACTTCCACTTGGCCACCATCTCTAATGTCCACTCTGCCATCACAGTTGGAGCTCGGACACAGAGGCTTTAATGGCTTCAACTTGAAGACTCTTCAACAGTTCTGCTGACTTTAGTAGAGCATCCAATGCCTCCCACGATCTGCTTTGCCTTCCTTCTCCTCATCATGCCACCTTAGGGCTCAGTACAGAACTGGGGACTTGATGGGTAGTTATTGCTATTGCTGTCTTGGTGCTCTAAACCTTCGGAGATGGAGGGGTCTCAAATCCCTCACCTGCCCACAGTCTTTCCTGGCTCCATACTTGAAGCTCAAGAAGGTTAAGTTGAGGCCTGCAGATCTCATTAGAGACCATTTGCCCTGTGTGTTCAGCCAAGACTGGGGAGGAGGGTGAGGAGAACTAGTTGTACTTACTGGCCAATCTGTTTTCTTTTCTCTCCTAGCAATGGCCTCGAGGACACTCCCAGAATAAAAGTGTCTCTCTTCCTGCCTTCATTTATGAATCCCACAATAACTGATTTGATCACCTACTTTGCCTAAGGTGAGCTACTAATATTTTAGTAGGCAAAGCAGACAGCCCTTGGCCCCATAGAGTTTATATCTTATCTGTGGAGACAGACATAATAGCATGCAGACACAAGTAACATATGATTAGAAAGGAGCTAAGTACTACGAATCAGTCCTTGGGTGGTGCAAATAGGAAAGTGTTTGGCTACTAACCAAAAGGGTGGCAGTTTGAACCTACTCAGAGTTGCCTTGAAAGAAAGACCTGGTGAAAACCCAGTCACTCGATAAGGTGTGGAACAAAGTTCTACTCTGGCACGCTATGAGTCAGGATTGAATCAATAGGAAGATGATTTTGTTTATTTTTAAGTTCTATGAAGCTAAATGCAGGATGGCATAAGCATGTATAACCTTGACGTCTATAAGCATATCTGTGTATAGTTGGACTCAGGAAGTATGGAAACAGAACCAAGCTTTTGGGGAAAAGGTGGGAATAGTTTGACATAAAGGAACTGAGAAAAACGGAAAGTTCTGTCTGATATATAGAGTCCATTGGACCAGGTTTGATGGGCTCCTAGGACTGAGAAGGGCAATGGAACGCCCCTAATAACTTACTTTCTGCTGTCTGTCGTGAGTCGGTTTCAACTCACAGCGACCCTGTACGGGGTTTCTGAGGCTGTAAATCTTTATGGGATTTACATAAAATGTTGTTCATTCTTGAGAAAGAAGTGTGTGAAGGATACCTTTTCTTCTGGACATTCTCCTGTAGAGGGGTTGGCGGATTCAAATTGTTGATCCAACCCAACACATAACCCAATAAGCTATCAGAGTTCCTTAATAATTCACTTAGTTGTAGTTGTTAAGTGCTGTTGAGTTGATGCCAACTCAGAGCGATCCTGTATAGGGTTTCCAAGGTG